GGACAAGATTAAAAAAATAATAAAATAATGAAAACATAAGACGGACATGAAAAAATTCATAAAAGAACGAACGTATAAGACGGACATGATTCAAACAATTAAACAAAGCCAACATAAGACTGACATTTCTCAAAACAAATAACAAACGTATCGGACGGACATAGACAAATGATACTGTGTAGACGAATGAATAATCTTGTAATGAACAAAATCTGTCTCTTATACACATCTAGATGTGTATAAGAGACAGGGGTACTGACGGGACTACACTACACTTGGTAATGATAACTTATCATTGCTATCGATTTCGTGTCGATGTAACGACGATAGCAAACAGGGTGAAAGTCTTATCACATCCTCGTAATCGTATGTCTTTCCCTTATCCATTCCAACCAAGACACAAGTTGAAGAGGAGGCACATCCTAGGCTAGTTAAGACACAAGTTTGTCAGCTATAGTTCGGTTATGACTGTCTAAAACTATCCATAATTTGTTACAAGTAACAATCTTCAAGAATCTGGTTGCTGTAACTAGAATTGGAGTTTCATTAGCAATTTCTTCGCGGTGAAAACAACACTTTATTACAACACCGGCAAACAGTCCGCCGCTAGTCGCCATGTTGTTGTTTACTGTTGTTGGCTGTACCACAACACGTGAAGTTATTGTAACAAAAACAATTTAATAGTAGTCTAAAAAATATTATTCCGTAATTAAAATTCAAACTATATCTAATTATAATTGTTTAATTTGTTTCTAAAGCAGTAATACGAATTTCGCAAATAATAAACTACGTATCAAAAATACAATATTCGAACGAGTACAGTGACGTATGCAAAATGTCGTGTGCTAATCTAGCGCAAAGAACTTTCAATTTCGTAAGTTTAAACGTCATTTTCTCGTATTTGCAGAAGTTCTGACGGTCGAACTTTTTTTTGGTGCTTTTAAATATTATTATAATAATTATCATAATGAGTAAAAGTATTAGGAAAATTTCGGAACGGGACTGAACGTTAGGATTTTCACCCCATGGCCTACAGAATTAACCTATGTATTGTTCAACTACCTTATTAAAAACCACAATACTTTCTCTGTATAACAATTTAATTAATCAGAGCTATTGATTAATTTGTATATTACTATTATAGGAAATCAAATATTTCCTGAATCAAGTAAGCCTGATGAGATGCCAAATGCTATGCCGGTCGATGTTTTATCTGATCAACCATCTGATGAACCATCTGATGACAGTAGTGAAGATGACAATGATTATGACGATGATTACGATATTGACGATGATCAGCGAGATCCCGATTACATTCCATGTGAAGAAGAGGATGAGGATGATTTTGAATTGAATCAGTAAGTACCTTTTCTATGCAATTGTTTGCAAGCTTCCTTAAGCAGTATGTGTATTCTGAATGTCTCGCACTTTTTTTTTTAGCACTGATGGTGGCTGCAGTGGTGGCAGAAAATTTCTGGTGTTTGAAGAGGAACTGCTAGCAGCGTTTAGCACATGTCTAATGTGTGGTCACCCAACCACGCGCAAAATATCTGCAGTTATTGGGACATTTTGCAGAATAAAACAATACTGCATGAACTGTAATTTTGAAAGATTATGGAGTAGCCAACCGATCGTGATATAATATTATATCCTTCTAATTCAATATCAAGAGCAAGTAGATTACCTTCAGTGTCTTTAGAAGTACAGTATTTTTCACGCGAAAATTAAACCCTGTATTAAAAAGTATGGCAACGCCCCTTGTGTTGCTTTTAGGAACTGAAGTAACATTCAAGGCCCCATTCGTTCCTGATAAAGTGCTCGTTTTCTTCGGTAAAGTGGGTATCTTGTAGGCAATATATTGCGTATTTCTTTCCCCTTAAGTAATTAAAAACATCCCTTCATTTGTTAAAGTCGGAAAGCCCTCTACAGTTCACAGATGCTACTGTGATTCTACTATTTTGGGGTTGATGATTAATCAATTTGTTATGTATTGTCCGAACAATTCTAATTTATATACAGCTAACGATTAGTAGATAAATTTGTAGATAAAATAGGTAGTTACAGTACAAGAGCAGCTGGAACCAACCAGGGTATCATCGCAAATTTACCTTCGTGTCTTAATCTTATCTTCTCCTTATAAGCAGACTTCTCTCTCTCTCTCCTGACTTCTGTGGACACATCAATTGACACTGTGATAAACTTTCCTTTTTATTTTTTCTGTTTCAATATCTTCGGGGCATTTTTTTTAAATTCTTTCTCTATCCACATAACTCAAAAATTTAATAACTGGCTTAGGGTTTGACCCTTGTTTTCACATCCTAAGGGCACGCTCTATGTCAACACTCATGTTGAAGCCATTTCTTATAAAGTCTTACATTTCTTATAAAGTTCTACAGCTTTCCCCTTCCGCATTCGCTGGGATCCCCCAGACTAATTTGTTCCTCCTGGACCTATTTTCAAGATCCTCGATTGACGACTGCAATCTTTCTGTGACTTCATTTAATGCATTTTTTCAATTCCTCCTTATTTTCACCAACAGATTTCTCTAGGCTTACAAACTCTTCATATTTTACACGTTGTAAAAATTCATATTTATTTTCTTCTATCTCTGAATTAAGAACCTCTACACCAGAATCTAGTTCCCCGACTTTTAAATACCTCCCTATAATCAGATATCATTTTGAAATGATTAAGTATATCTCCCTCCACCTTATTCAATGTACAGTAGCCTCCATTATTGTCAGCTTATTCAAAGCCTTTTCCTGCATGCCCACTAGCATATCGATTTTACCGGCCTTCATCACCTTTGAGCAGAAATTTAACAACTCGTTTAGAGCACGTCCACTTGCTTCACGGGCATGCGCATAACTCCCTTTTAGAAGAATCTTATAATACCTTTATAAAATAATGTACTATATATTTGTATAAATATAAAGCGAAACAAAATACACAAATAATACAGACTTATCCAGCTATTGTACATTTAATTCAAACTGGCTACATACACAGTTTATAATATATGTTATAATGGTTTTCAGATTTTTAATGTTATGTTTGGCATTTATTCGAATACAATTGTAAATTTTCAATTCAATTTAATTCTCCCTCAGATAGAACTATTTATTTATTTAGGGCTAGATTTGTTTCCTGGGCCAAGTTGGTTTTGTTCCGTGTTGGTTTGGGGCAGAGTTGGTTTTGGGGCGAAGTATTGTCTGGGACGAGTTTGTTTTGGTCTGAGTTGGTTTGGGCCGAATTGGTTTAGGCCGATTTGGTTTTGCCGGGCTGAATTGACTCTGCATTCAAATGTACAGCAGTCTAAGAGTATAGACAACTTTTTGAACATGAGTGTTGTGGGGTGGGGGAGAGGTGGGAGGTTATTAACCTTGCCTGTCAGGGGTCCATGGGGCGTAGGAGTGGTTGGCGCACCGGTTATGGCTTGGACTCCCAACCTTGAGGTCGGGGGTTCGAAACTCTTTCAGTGCAAATCAAATCGCTTGTAAATGAAATATAATTTCATTTACTAATTTAATTTGGTGTTTCAATGTGTTCCATATGTGTTTGATCCAATGACAGGGGTAGTAATGTGAAGCGCTTAGAGGCCTTGTAAAGGCATGAAGCGCTATATAAGAACGACATGTTATTATTATTATTATTATTTTTATTTGCTCTAATATTTTCAGACGTAACTGCTTTTTGACGCCCTTGTAGTCTCAACTCATTTCCAGGGCAAACTTTGTAGTTCTCTTGATCCATTTCAAGAAGGAATCAATTGCATTGGACCCATTTTGATTTCATCTAAATTTTCACTAATTTGTTAATTATATTAACTTTATAATATGTCCTATCATTAATGCATCAAATACATTATAATAAATAATGTATTCAAAAGTTTGTATTGCTTAATTGTAAAATTGCAGATGCTGTATTTTTTGCCGATTCCACCTATGTTAAAAATAGATAATCAAGTTCTCATGTACAGGGTAATTTTGAATGAAAAATGTTTAATGCTGTAATTGAAAAATGTTTAATTCCCTGAACGTTTCACATCCAAATCCCTGTGCCAAAATATAAATGGTCCAGAGCAAAATTTTTTTCTCATTACCATACACTTCCTTAGCCCCATCACAAGCACCTTGTGTTTATGTTTGTCTTTTAAAGTCGGGCTTTGGAGGGAAAAGAATTTTTGATATGTTGTAGAACTTATTTTTCTAAGACAGAAAAAAGTTGTTTGGCGTAAAACTGGGGAACGGTGAATGAAATACAGAGTTTTGAATATTTTACTGGGAGAAAAAGGGGCATAACTGGCTTTTTTTTCACCTTTTCCCCCAAATTTTTAAAATCAGTTTTCTAACATATCAACAATTTTTTTTTTTTTTTGTCACTTTTAATAAAAGACTGATTTATTCACTAATTGGCAATCCATGGCCTTTGTGCCTAAATAAATAAAAATATATTTTACTACATTGTACCATACCTCATAGTTAAGACCTGTTGCGGCCACTGATCCCACAACCGATGTACTGGCACTTTGTGCAAATACCTGTATTTGTTTTTTAATGTTTCTTTTTTACACCTTAAATTCTTAGGTCATTGTTAGCATGTCCCAAAAATATTACTGGTGCACTGTCATAAATAGCCCCCTTGGCCACCACAGGTTCGAAATTGTTGTTGCGCTGACATCGTTAGCCCATTCACCAACCACTGATCCCAGAAGTGATTGAGTCACACAAATTGTAATAGTGCACTACTATAGTTAGCCCATTCGGTCACTACTGGTCCCAAAAATTGAGCCACAGTATGTGTAATTATACTCATAGGATATCAAATGACAGCAGTCTTTGATATTTTCATAATTTGCATTTTGAGTACTATGTTTAGTTGCAATTTTAAAAAATGCGTTTATAGTATTATAGCTGTGTTAATTTTTTTTTTTTAAATATAGGGTGATAGTGACAACAGCAAACTGACTGACGTATATCTTAGGTACAAATTGTTCATTATTGGTTTCTTATGTATAGCATAAGACAGCTATACACATTTGTGTAGAGGTGTGGCATTTGACAGTACACCTAATACATCCCACTAATGTCAAATTTGAGGTCCATTAGTCTGGGCTTGTAATGTGTACACATCAAATTCACTGATACTAGTCCTTATTCAATCATCTTTAATTAGAGAACAGCAATAATTAAAACATTTTAGGCTATAAGCCAAAACTAGTCCTGGCCGGACCAATATTATCCCGGGAGGACTAATTTTGGCCGGCCAAAATCAGTCCCCGAACAAAGTTTAGCGGCCAAAATCGGTCCCCCGTTTTGGCCCGAACCAATTTTGGCGTGACAGGCCCACACCAAGCCAACACATGTCCGTCACAGACTCAGAGTGCTATTTTCGGCCATCTAGAGGTTGATATTCTTTAAAAAAATCTCATTTGGAAAGGGGAATCCTCAACCCCTTTTCCCATTTCGAGCCTACGAGCTCAAGTCCCCCTGTCGGACAACTTAGCCCCCTCAGAAAATATATCTTAGAGCCGCCACTGGGAATCAGCGGTTCATTGTTACCGTGTGTAGTTGAATGAACAATAAAGTAAAATTTAAATGTCAAACTACTGTATAGCATTGATTATGTTTAGGTCTACAATTGTGCATAAAGTTAGAGGTTTGAAACAATTAACATTTTATTAATATAGAAGTTTAAAAGTTAATGATATTTTAGAATGCTTGAAATGGTGTGTTTTTAGGTAACTATTCTAGAAATGATGCATTTTGTTAATTTATAGATGGTCACAGGAGTGCAGCTTAAATTCCGAAGATACCTAAGTCTTTCAAGAAACGCAAATGTTTCAAGCAGCTGAAGTAAAAGCTGATGTATCGTGTATGTATACTGTGATGTATATGTATATATATGTATGTATGTATGGGTGTGTGTGTGTTTGGGGTTGTAAGTGTATGTGTGTATATGTATGGGTGTATATTGTGTTTATGTGTATATGTACAGTATGTGTGTATGTATATATATATGTGTGTATATGTACAATATGTGTGTGTGTATATATATATATATATATATATATGTGTATATG